ACCAATACTCATCCGAGTCTTAGTTTTATCTTATATACACTTTTTCTTCTCAGATCCGCAAAAAAGAGCTGACCTGACTCTCTTCATTCTATCTGGAATCAAAGTGTCCACCACGTGCATGTGTTGCTATTATTAGATTAATAAACCTTCACCGAATTAGCGAATGTATCACATCATTACTTTTTTGAACACTCCCGAAAGAATGGAATTACGAGCGACTTGGGGACTGGATTAATTGGTGGCACTTCTCAATTTTAAACTGAATAAAGGTCGTTTTAACCAACGTCAGATATTTGTTTTAAAGAAATAATTTTCTTCCATCCAAACTTTAGTTAGATTTCAAGAATGGTGAAATGATAGAATTGGTGGCTTTGGGGCTGTAACGGAGACAGTTCACTTCTAAATTATCGAATTAGTGAGAAAATGTGCAATATGTCTACCTGATGAAGCCAGATTTAATCCAGGTATCATAACATGTAAATAAGAACTTAAAATTCCACTACATCATGAGTGATTTACAATGAAAAATCGTGAATTTGGTTGATGTTTCTAGAAGGACAAATTATCATATCGCTGTTTAAATGACAAACCGTTTTCTTTACAAGCCTATGTTTTTTTAAAAAATAAACATGAAAGAGCGAAATCTAACAAGTTATGTATAGCTGAAATTTTAAATTTTTTTTATAAAATGCAAAGGTAAAAAGTCAAAGTAACTTACAGAATGGTGAATAAAATCCTAATAGTCTTAAATGCTCTATCAAGTCCATAAGTATCAAGTAATCCGAATGCGTTCCATTGATATTATGAATGATATCATATGTGTACTGATGTATCAGCAATGAAAAACAATCACTATTATACAATCCCAAAATGTCTTTGAATTAATCCACAGTAATTCCGTGACAGGTATTATTTCAATTTATCTAAATATATCGAGCATTGTAATTAAATTTGTCGAGCATTGTAATTCCAAAGAATGATTAAATCAAAGAAATCCTCTCAATATAACTGAATAACTTCCAAAACTGGTGTTTACTACTAAGAATGCCTAATTATACACAATGTATTTCTTATATACAAAGCTAATACGCAATACAGACACAAATTAAAGATGGATATTCTTTCTAGAAAGACCAGAACTAGCAAACGAGATCGGATGTTAACCAATCTGAAATTATGTCAGACTGGCCTGTCAGAACTTACGCCTCGAAATTGGATCACATGATGTTTATCTAAAACTGCTAGAACTAATCAACCTTGAAACCCATGAATGGATTTTACGTATTTAATACCATAATGACCTGTTATTTAAAGTGCAAATTTACGATTATTGGGGAAATTAGTATTGAAAATCTTATAAACACATCCTCTAACTATAATCATGAAAAATGATCAGCATTGTATAGAAAGATACGTCTACATAAAGCAGTACATGTATATCATTTCTAACACTTATCAGTGACGCATAAACTTTAAATATTTGGAAGCAGATTTTGCTTTTGACTGACCTGACGAAAGTGTTAACACATTAAAATGAGGTATATAGGTTATAAATGATAAACAGTTTTGTATATTGTATTATCAAAATTAGCATTATGAATGGAATATGTTTCATCTTTGCCAAAGGAATCGAATACATTAAACCTCTTCTTTGAAATACTTTTTTTTAATTTTATAATGCACGTCATAAACAATATGAGAAGGCGTAAACAAACGAATATGTTTTATTCAGACATGTGAAAATGCCGTTTCCGGAAATATTTAGCTCTAAAGTTTAAGGGTACCGACAGGGAAATAAAAACTTCGAAAATATATGCAGTCTTTGTAACAGGAACAAAATTTAAACAGCAGAAAATTCGAGCATTTGAAACAAATCTGCCATGAGTGAATTAGAAGTGCCGTTGCGACTATTAAGCTAAAATAGTATTCCGTGCCCGGGAAGATGTATCAGCAGTACTGTAATAGCAATAGCGGTGGCAGCACTACTTTTCAAACTGTCCATGTGGTTTGCGATAATACCAATAAGGGCATTTCGCTCTGGATAAACACTTATTTTCGCTATGGCTTTCTTAAATGACATACAGAACTTTTTTCTTAAACATTCATTCAGTTTAGTTAAGTTTAGTTGTCGTACACTTTTCATAGTGTTTACGTTATAGAGTATCAGGCCGACCAGTTAAAAAAAGAAACGATCAACAAGAGAGCTCCTTTCCTCTTTAATTGTTCTCTGTCATCCATTTATAGAACCTACCCTGGGGATGACACAAAATTTGGGAAAAATTTGTGAACAAATGTACATTTCGAAATTACAAAACTCTTCGCATCTGATAGACCTCACCCTATAGAGGGGATTAAAGGTCTATACTGGCAGAGACAAGCATAAAAATATATTTGCATTTACACAAATTAAAATGTGCACTTTTAATCTGTGTAAATGCAATATAAAACTAATATCAATCTTTGGTTACCTCTTTTGTAAACTACTATCTGTACCACATTGGCATCAGCGTTGCTGTAGTTATTCAACATGCATCTCCACTTGTGCGTATTATTGGATGGCAACTATTGGAAATATGTGGATATTGTACTAATCTGTGTGTATCTTACGGAAGCTGTATATAAATGGATATTGTTAGCATATATTTATTTGACTTTGATATTCTTTAGTAAGTTACTCTGCATATCATAATAACCTAATATCATAATACATGGAACACCCAACTGGCAAATTAAAACTATTACCTATTAAAGACCGAATCCAGTCGAGAAAAAAACAAATTATTGTACAGGATATAATAGTGCTTCTTAATATTTACAATCACTATTCCAATATGGGATACCTGGTAATATTCCCCACCTAGGACCTATGTCTACCAAACAGTATAAAATTCTCAAAACAAATAAGGAATTATTCAGAAAAAGTTTCCAATACTCTGGAACTTTGCTCTGGAATAGTATTCCAGTTGACATTAGAAATCTCCACTCTATTTCCTTCTTCCAAACCCAATTTATTTAGTGGTTTCATATATGCAGTTAAAGTAAAATAAATCCCTTTGTACCTCAAAGTAGATTAGTACTTCAGCTAATTTGTCTTTGTCTGAGATGTCTTCTTCTAGTGAAAATGTTATTATTCATGGAGTAGAGTGCGGCTTTATAAATCTTCCTCTCCATTGTGTAGTCTCGTGACCTGTGACTGTTGAGGGTTATTAACCTATTACTAGGTAATAAATTAACTACGTTTGTTGTTAATCCGCTAAAAACTACCAAGCCGTGTTTGAATCAAAACGTTAGTTTTCTTGAGACTGAAAACCCTAATATGTATTCAGCCTGTGAAATTACAATAGCGTTCTTGAAAATGATATTGATCAGAAAATTATTCCTTCAGCTGACGCATTTATTGGTGAGCCTAGGTGAGATAACTTTTACTCCAGGTATTGATCATATACTTTTTATCAATTACAGTGATCCTCATTGTATTACTCATACTCTATACTGTAATCAGGCTGACAAACAACAATCATTCAATTTGAAACATAAATATGATCATGAAATCTCCTATTTGTTTCAAAGGGCTAAATGATAGTGAATACACATAAGTTATCGCTTGATATTTTGTGAAAAAATGGGAAATGGGATATTTATGAGACATTGGAGACTGCTGGAGACATTGGAGACTGCTGAAGTGAGCTGGCAAGTGATTGTTGTGAAGACATCTCGACAGAAGCTCCTTATTCAAGCCCATTTCTTGGCTTAAGTGATATTTTAAAATAATGGAGATCGTTGTCACACTTCAAAATGGTATAAAAACACAATCAGAAGATATCAAAGGCTTTTTTCCAGACTATTCCTGTGTTTGAAAAAAACAAAACAACAAAAAAACCAATTTAGCATAGTACGGTAGACTTTGTCGATCATTTACCCAAACATAAATCAGGCAACCAATACTTGTTAATCGTCATGTGTTCTTCCACAATATTTCCAGAGGCAATTAACCAGTGGACTATTAAAACAAAAGCAATTGTAACAGCTTTAGATTTTTTACACTTCCTGGCCTTCCCAAATCTGTCAAATCTCATAATTGATCAAATTTTATGTCTGGAAATTTTCAACAAGTTATACATAAATTAGGCATGCAACAGATTTTTAATCTGCTTTTCACCCTGAAAGCCAAGAGGCTTTCAAATGATTTCATCAAACTTTGAAAAACATTATTCGGTCATATTGCTTTAATATAGGAAAGTATTTCATGTTGTTTGATATTATTACGTCATTCCAAGAATCACTGGATATTTTGAAATAATCTTTGAACATGTCAGTGTGGACCACTGAAGTTATTTAAACAGAAAGTTATATAAAGCGAAGATACTTTTAAACTATGTCTTCGACCTTAGATATAAGTTGTCAAAGGTTTGTTAAGTAGGAAGAACTTGTTTTCACTCTATTCAGTCAAAAATGATATTAAGGTTTGACAGAAATATACATTTGTTTAAAGAGAAACTTACATAAAAAACGGTTATTATATCAATTTGAGCGCATGATTTCATGAAAAAAATTTGAAAATTATTTGATCGACTCACTGATGCTGATCTGACAGTTAATTTAGGTAACAGCTTTTGTCTTGCTTATGTCACATTTTCATTACATTTCATTGGGCAAAGTCATGCTAAACACGTAGACTTATATTCAAAGGCTATCTCTGAATTATCACTGCCTAATTAATAGAAACCAACTGATGTGATTTTTGTGTATGGCTGGATATTATCCGATAGTTTGTTCATATTTTTCCATAATTGCTGGACATTTGGCAAGCTTTGCTGTGTGTAATATAAAAGTTTCATTTTTCGAACAAATGTCAGGAATCGTTAGACATATTTAAGGGTGTTCTTAAATGTGCATTGTTTTTAAGCAAAATATTTCACCCAACTACTTAAACTATCTGTTTATACATGTGACTTGTAACTTTGTCGATAATTAATTCAAAAAGATAAAACTGATATATCGACCGCTCCGGTGACTTAGTGGTTAGAGCGTCCGCCTCGGATGAGGGAGGTCGTGGGTTCGATTCCCGATTGAGTCAAACCATAGACTTTCAAAAATGGTACTAACAGATGCCTCGCTTGGCGCTCAGCATTAAGAGGTTAGTGTTAGAACTGGTCGACCTAGTGTCAGGATAATGTGACTGGGTAGGATATTATGCTACATGTCTGAGGCATCACTTGACATCACTATAAACTGCCATACTGCAGACATCGCATCGATATGACTGAAAAATTGTTAAAGCTAAGTGAAAAATCCAAATCCAAATAACAAAAAGCTGATATGATTCATCAAGTTGATATTTTTATATAAAAAAAAAAATAATAAGCACCAGAAAAATGACTTCACAACTGAGTAGGAACTTTTGGCATTGTTATTGGCTTAGTTCAGCTCTTTGTCCGTTTTTTATGTTCAGTGTGATCACAATCCTTTACTTTAGGTAATAAAATGAAAAACAAAACTCAGGAATTATTAAAACGGAGTCTAAAGTTGCAGGTATACAAGACTGATATTGGACACATCAAATAAAATGCATTCTCACGTGTATAAATGTACAAAATTTGCTTTACTTTATGTATATGTTGTTTAGTTACGCCTTGTGTTATTCAAAAGATATATGTACATATAATTTTAATTATTATTGTATTACGATTATTTGGGTACTATGTACAAGAAAACTTGCTGGATAGGTATCTTTTTCTTCATGTGCGGAGGCTTTATGAATATATAATTGTGTACTTTGTCCGTGTTTCTAAGCTGTACTTTGGATAACGTAAAGCTTTATGAGTATATAATTGTGTACTTTGTCCGTGTTTCTAAGCTGTACTTTGGATAACATAAAGCTATATGAATATATAATTGTGTACTTTGTCCGTGTTTTAAAACTGTACTTTGGATAACGTAAAGATAATGTTTCCCAGCAAACTTTCGTTCCTGATTGACAATTTATAAATATAATATTTACATCAGATTTGAGTTCTCGACATTCAAGGTCGAGTCTTGTTTACATTTAGATTGGAATTGTTCGTTGAAATGATTTACATCTATTTAAAGTAAAAACGAGTCTAAAAAGAGATTCGATAAACAAATAATTCATTTTTATTTTATATCATTTTGATCAGAGTTTACAGTTGCGTTTAGATATGAATCGGGGGAAATTATTTATTTAATACGTTCAATTGAATCACTATAGTGCTTATTCTCGTTTGGATTATGCGCGCTACTTTGAGTTATTGTTAATTTATTCAAGGACTTTCTGACTTTCTGGGCTGCATCACTGTATTACATTCAACACTCAAGACTGCTGGAATTCATTCGTAACATTTTATATCTTTGGACATTTAGAAATTTTTAAGTTTTATTTTACAGTACTGTGTCTCTTAAAATCTAGCTTTGTGTTATAGAGGAAAACATTGCTGTGAAAACAAGACCGAATCCTAACGGTCTTTTTCTCAAGCTGATTTTGAATAATAGTCAATATTCTAAGTTTTACAAAATTAGTTTACAGTGGCCACTATTGCTTTTGGTAATAAAATTGCTTGAAAAGTTAGGACGGTTTGATAGATCTTTTAGACAAAATCATGTCATTTTTAATTTTAAATCATTGATATAATCCACGCTAAAATGCACAATTTATTGTTTTCAACCTAGCCCATCCCTATTTTTAATACATATCGTAAATTTCATTTCACCTATATATTTTACGAAATTTATGAAATCTCAGCTTAAAATCGGCATTTTAATTGATGAACACCCTGCAGGCATGGGCTAGTAATGATTAAGTCTGAGTAGTCTTTTGGACTCGAATTAAAAAACGAAAGCATCCGTGTTCGAAATGCACCAATATTTTATATATCGTCGTCAGGAATATTTATATATATATATATATGCAAAAAGAACTATTATACCTACCGTAGGTAGAAAAAGAAACAAAACTAAGGACAAATAAACTTTACATATCTGACTCTTACAAATATGATAATAGTGAAATAAATTCAAACTTTCATGAAAATGAGTAAAGCCGTTACATATAGATGCTGACAAGCGTGTATAATTTGCTTTATCTTGTTGCCAGAAGCTGTATTATCACAAGCCTGCATATCTCAAAACAATTTTAGGAGCATGAATATTTTTTGAACGGAGGTGTTACTTTAGACCTACCAGACAAATATATGTTTGTTTGATGCATCAAACACTGTGAAAGCTGGTACAGAAACAGTTTTAGATAATTCATTTGATATTGTTATTAATCTGGGGCATTTTTGCCATTAGTATTTATATCTCTGTTTATAGCTTTGTTCAATTTTTAGTGAATAGCTGTTGGATTATTTGAAGTCGGTATTGGGAACGTAACCAAAGTAATTAGCTAAATATCTTGTAACAGAGGTCATAATGGACAGAATTCAAAATATTACATTTATAATGACTTGGATTAGTTTTGTAAATTGAGATGCAAAGATGGATGGACATGAGCCAATTAGTCCTTATCTTAATCTAAAGGTATTGATTGAGTGTTCTTTAAAATGTGAACTATTCTTGACGGGACTAATATTTTGTGTCATGAAATCATGGGGAAGAGATTATTCCTTTTTTTGGAGATGCCTTTTATTGTTCCTGTGAAGACAGTTTTGTGGAGGGGCACATATGAAATGTGTCTGTGTTTCGGCTTTAATGGCGATTGGAATCGGAAACTAGATCCTTGCATTGGGTGTTTGAGTTGTGATTTGCATATCATGGGGTGGGCTGCTAACGTTACGCTATTTAATTCTTGCAAGGTGAAAATATGCGGTTGTAAAGTCGTGATATTTGTGGACATTGATTTATGGAGGAAAATTATTTGTACTCTTAGCTCAATCCGAGAACTAGAAGTCCTTGGAAAAAAACGGAAAACAAGGGACTTCCAACCCCGAACTCACACCTGTCTTAGATATCCTCTGTAGAGCGACTCCTTGTGTGCAGAATAATAAACATTTGCTCCGATTACAAAGCTGCTTACAATGATGCACAAGACACATTATAATCATTAATTTGTGAAAAAAAGCTTCTATTCATGTTTCGTAGGCAGACAGCAAAAATATACCCATTCGGCGCAGCTTTGACCGATTACTATGTTGAATAGCATGCCTGAAAGGAATAATGTATGAGCTCTAAAACCATTAGTGAATCTCTAACATGTCCTTCATCTCACTCGTATATTCATCATTGTAAAAAAGCTAAAACAAATGCATCAAACTGTATGCGAACAAAGCAAATCTGTTTTATTTTACTAACCTAATCGCCTTCGAGTCTTTGCCAAAAGGTAAGCACAAAAAAGAGGCAAGACGAACAATTAAGACAAAATGACATTGACAAACGTTTACAGAACTATATTTATTGGAATTAAAGGTTGAAAATAGTTCATATTGCGCAAATTTGAGTGATGATGTAGTAAAAATATGATACTGAGCAAGAAATGGAGGAGCTACAGCACAATATACATTTTCTTCTTCAGTGTAATGTGTTGTAACTGGTAATTATATGTCCGATATTTCTATATTTATATAGTGCAAATAATAGCCATAGCAATAATAACACCTGAAAGAAATACAAAATACAGACGTAATTATAGGTGAGAGAATAATGAACAAAATGAATTCATTCTTTAATTAAAAAATTGGTAGCTAAAAATAGATGATGGTGTGGTTGACCATTTGGGATCCTCTTGATTTAGGCCGTTGGTTTCAGTGTTCTATGGCGGCGTATCAAGTAAGATTTCTTTCTTTCCAAGCATTATATCACTGAAATATTAGATGTGGGATGTGAAGTGTTCTGCAACAGGACTTCTGTCCACCTTCTTTGTTATCCACTCATATCTCAGAAGATTTATTGATATGGTGTAGTTTTTTGGTTTCTTTAATATGTTGAAAGCTGTAGATCGTACATCCGAAAACATATATTACATTTTCTATTCATGTTCAATCTTCGCTCGTCAAGATTGTGGTGGTCTCTGATCTGTTGACGGGTTTTACACCGTTTATCACCACAGGGACCTGATTTGCCAGGATGGTCATGATTTGGGATTAGCAGTAGCTTTGCTCTGACTAGCGTGGTTTTGAGGTTTATCTGACTAGGATGGTTTTGAGGTTTATCTGACTAGGATGGTTTTGAGGTTTATCTGACTAGGGGGTTTTGAGGTTTATCTGACTGTTTATCTGACTAGGATGGTTTTGAGGTTTCTCTGCTGAGGTAGGCTGCTTTCTTTAGGAGGATTAACTTTAGTGTGTCACAAGATTCCAATGTTTCTGGATGATTTTGCCTAATCTGTTGTATGGATAATAGGTCAAGATTAATGGTATCGTATAAAGATTTTCCTTCTGCATATATTCTATTAGGCCAATCAGGCTTGCCTCAGCCACCAGGTCGTTTTCTTAGCCTTGGTTTATCAAATGTTCATATAACTCTTCAGACATTTTCTAGAACGATTCATATTCGGAGCAAATTATGCTTATTCCAAAGTACCTGACTATGTGGGATATTCCGAATGCAATGCTTTGAATCCCAACTACCTGAGATGATGCTGGTATTGATAACCATGTTTGGAGTAGAAATACGCCTGTACAATGTTTTATATTAATCTGATTCCTGTATCTAGAAAAACGTCGAGTTGGAGACTTATGTCGTGAATTTTTTTTTGAACGGTGTAATGTATTTGCTCTCGAGATGAAGTTGTCCAGAGATTTTTTAATGTTGCCACTTTAATTTTTTATAATTGATGACACGTATCCACTGTTAAGGTGTCAGTTCCACCAAAAGTTTACCTTCCTTCCGTTGTCCCATAAATATATTAGCATATAAGGGGCTGCTTTTGTTGACATCCCAGTTTCATTTTTCTGGAGGTAGTTTTCTTCATTGAAAGCATAGTTATTGCATTTTAAGTTTAACTTGGAAATAAGTGGGCGGATCATCTATAGTGTCTAGTGTCCCATTCATTATTACATACCTGTATCCTTTCACTTTGAGGCATATTATTTTACAAGGATGTGAGGTCTAAGGAAACAAGCA